CACACACACACACACACACACACACACACACACACACACACACACTCGCGCACTTTTTTTTTTCTTCGATTGATTGATTGATTGGTGGGAGGGGGGTCACCCCCCACCCCCCGCAACGGCACACACACACACACACGCACACTCATGCACCCTTCCTTTTTTTGGTTTTTTATTTTGGATTGATTGATTGGTGGGAGGGGGGTCGCCCGCCCCCCCCCCCACATGCGCACGCCACACACACAAACACACACAACCAAAAAAAGAAGAAAGAAAAAAAAAACTTTTTTTTTTACTTGTTTTTTCACAGTTTTTCATTCCTTTTTTTTTTTTCCAAAAAATATATGCAAGGAAAATGAGCAATAGCGAACTTCAGAAATGAAGCAGCATCATACACATGAGTACAGGTAGTCGTGACCTCGAACCAAGAGCAGAATTGCAACAGGAGTTTCACCAAATAAGAGCACAGCAAAAGCTCATAAGTGACAATGTTGGAACAGTCTCATCATCATCAACAAAGAACCAATGTCGACATCCTATCTGGCGCTCTCCGCCCAGACTACAAATGGCAGATCGTATGTAGCCTATCTACAATGCCGCTGGTGACGTCAACAGCTCCCCGAAGTACGAGCAGATCTTGGCCAATGCCGTAGTCCTCAAGCACCAGGTATGTCTCTCGCATCATTTACAACCTCGATCCCCAACACACAGATGCCACATGCACCGAAGGACCACCATGCGCCCCATCCAGCATAATTGCAGGCCCACTATCTTTTTTTTTTTTACAAGTGCATTTGAGTCTTTGTGAGCAGTTCGTGTGATATTTGACATTCCTTTTTCTTTTTTCCGCAGGCCGGGGGCGCTAAGCTAGGACATATAAAAGAGGTAACCACATGGCAGTCGTGAAAACAGTTTGAGAATGCACTTCTGGAATTCCCCCGAACAAAACACACCCCCCCGTGAACATAACACACCCCACTTGAACATAATACACCCCCACGTGAACATAACACACCCCCACGTGAACCCTACCCGACCGGAAAAGCTAGCTTGAATTCATTCGACATTGTCAGGACTTTTGCTTCAACAAGTGCATTTTCTATTTCAAACCCTGACTCCGCCATAGTGTTCTCAATATAAAATGTCCGTTCTGACGAAATGGCTGTTACCCACAAAAATTCGGGCATGTAGTAGCAAACCTGAAGATTTCAGGAGTAAACAGACAAGGTTTTTGGGCGGGCACAATCTACCTGTTTTCTCTACTCCTTTTTAAAAAACATTATCATGTTTGAAAATGGAGTATGGTAAAGCGGAGCCACACTCTCCAAGAAAGTAGAATGGGGAGTGATTTTCCCAAAAAAAAGAAGGTATAATTTGCAATACACCCCCGTAAGTTGAGATATATGCCAAAATGCCCCTAAAAGATGTGGGTAGAGCGGAATGCCCCTCTGATAAATAAATATTTTGTGAAATACCCCTGGTGTCGGTTGGACTGCCATCTTTGCAATGTACCCCTACCGGGGACCATCAAACTTTGCGAAATGCCCCAGTACTTGAAAACTTTTCCTACGCGCTTTTCCAAAAGGCCAACGCCCAAATGGGGAGGTCCAGATTGCAAAGTCGCACACCCGCCTGACAGGGGCACAACACAAAGATTTCGGCCGAAAAGGGCATTCCGCTCTACCCACATCTTTCAGGGGCATTTTGGCATATATCTCAACTTATGGGGGTATTTTGCAAATTATCCCCC